GGAAAGGGCCCGGGGGAGGCGGCGGGGGCTCGGCGGCCTGAGGGCTGACTCTCTCCTTCCGCATCAGAGAAGGGATTTTATAGAAAGCATTAGGCTTCTAAGCTAAAAAACCTCTTCCACAGGGGGAGAGACGAGCAGGTGACACATGCGTGAAGCGGAGCTGGGGTTTTAGAGTTGCTGCTGCTCTCTTGGAAACGGGAAAGGAAGGTGGGGAACGTGGCCATAAAGTGCAGAAGCTCCCTTGAACTTCTGGACTTGTAGTAACATCTTTTTACAGGAAATATGACGGTCCTAAAGCTGTTCCGCACAAATATTTGAGTACTTCAGGCTTTCAGGACGTCACAGTTGTCCCTTACACCTCATTTAGCTCTTAACTACAATTTTGGCAGAGGGGATGGTGTTCACAGATCTTTGCTGAGTGTACCTACTTTGCTGCTCAGTCCTTCGGTTTGCTGTTCAAAATATAACATAGTAAAGTGCCCTTATAACTGACATTCAGACAAGGAACATTACAGCAGGAAGTTAAATAATTAAATTGTGTGAGGAGGGTCAGCTGTAAATTATTTGTTTACCTGTGTTTCCAAGAAAGGGAAGGCTTGGTGTGACTGAAATAAAATCTGTATTGTAAAAGCCTGTACCCAAGGTGCTGAGCTAAATGTACTCTCCTAAGTGGTGTGCAGGCTTCGCTCATAAGTTTGACAGGTTTCTGGGCTTGTTGGTTTTGTTTGACCTCAACAAGCTGACAGATGTAATATCTGGAACAGGTTTGAGATGTTGATGAAGCCTATAAAATACTTCTCATATGTTCCCTACATATTTCAGAGATCCAGTCTCTCCAAACTGGCATATCAGGATGTGGGTTTGCCTCCCTACCATAGTATTTTCAGCAGTGTTGAATGTCCTTTCCTCCTAGAGTGGTTTGTTTCTGAAAATTTTTATCTATTTTGTCAATTCCTGCCCACCCCCTTTTATAATTTTGTATTTAAACAAAAAAATTCTTGTGCTAGGGCATAGTTACTTTCTGCTTTTCATTCTTGAATAAGTTCTTTTGATCTCATGAATCCCATCTGAATGCTCTAGGCCATATATAAGCTCAAGAGCAATTTTGTGTCAGTTTGCAAAGATAGTCTGTATAAAATGAGATGGGAATTGTTCTGTGGGGATGCTCAGGCACTGAAAATGTTACATCTTTGTCATTTGACAAAATGACAATGGCACATTTTGTTCACTGAGCTGTTACATTTTGTTTTCTAGAAATTCATGTAGCTCTGTTCTAAAAGTGAGCTTTGTTCATATCTTGCTCGTGGGTTGAGGCACCACAGCCCACTGCATGTGGGCTTTTTTTCTTTTTTAAAATGATTTTGTATTCTTCAGAGCTTGATTTTAATACTTGTAACAGTTGTAATCATCTTGCTCTTTTTAGGAACTTCTCTACTCTTCATACACTCAGGTCTCCTGTGGAGAAGCTGTTCTCAGGTTCTAGTGGATAATGGAATATAAATGTTTAAAGAGTATCTGCTGTCTGCTTTGGATGAAACCTGACCTATTTCTGACACTGAATGACAGCAGATCCATGCAAAGGCATCCTGAAAATGAGCTTCATAAGATCAGGCGGAGTTCAGTTCCTACCTCTATAAATTATCTAAGCCATCACAGTTTATTATGATTGTTGTAATCTTTAATTATTCAATTTATGGCATAATTTAAAGTTACATTAGATTGAGGTTAGTTATAATTTAAAATATGAAGGGAATTTTGAGATACAAGCTTTAGGACGCCTACTATGGTAATTCTTAAAAAGAGAAATATTCTGTTTCTTTCTGCTTGAAGAGTGGAAAGTGGGATTGTGGAATGATGGAAGTACTTGGTGCTTCTATTTAATTTAGGGACAATTTAGATATCATTGGCAGTGCCTCAAAATACTCACAAGACAGCCACAGTTTCCTTGCTGTGGGATCTTTTTGTGCAAAAGAAATTGGCAGTTAAATGAATACACTTAGGAGGTAGGGATGTTCTTTGTTTGCTTTTAATGGCTTATCCTGTTATGTTCATGTAAGTCTTACTCATGCTTGAAATTGGTCCTTATTCTCTGTCAATCAGCAGGGCTGTGGGACCTGTTAGTGAGACAAGCACTGAAATTTTGTAGCTGGATGTGTCTTTGTCCTCTAACTTGAAAGTTTCTTTCTGTGCTGTGGCCTGGCATTATTATTTGGGATAAGTAGTGTGTGGTGACTGCCCAGATCTGTAAAAGGGGGTGTGGATGAAGTGTGAGGGGATGGAAAAGGGAAAGATAACAAGACTGAACAGCCAGGATGCTGCCTTCTTTGTGCAGGATGCCTAACTATGTTATTGTTGATTTGGTTTTCTTTTTTTCCCCTTTTTTTTGTTTCTAGGAGTGATAAAACCTTGGCTCTGAAGTCTCTCTGCCAGTCTCCTTGGGTTGCTCTGGCCTGCCCACATTATTCCTGTAGCTTTGGTGGCTCTGGATGGCTGATGAAGAGAGATGTTCAATCTAATGGCCAATTGCTGCAACTGGTTAAAACGGTGGAGGGAACCTGTCAGGTAAACATGGGAAAGTATTTTATATTTCTCACCTTCCCAAACTGTGTTTCACTTGTGTTTTATTCATTGTTTCATATTTGATCACGTCCAGCCTCTCACCCATCAGCACCCCCAAGTTCTTTCTCCCCAGGGCTCTTCCTCATCTGCTTACCCCCCAGCTTGTGCTGATGCCCTGACCCAGATGCAACACCTTGTACTTGCTCTTAATAAACCTCCTGATCTTCCCACGGGCCACTTCCTAAGCTTGTGCAGTTCCCTCTGGATGGCTTCCCATCCTTCATGTGTGTCAGCCTCACTACTCACCTGCAAACTTGCCGAGGGTGCCCTCAGCACCTTTTTTGTCTCATTAAGGAAGATATTAAATAACACTGGTCCCAGTATGGACCTCTGAGGGGCACCACCAGTCACTGGTGTCCATGGGAACTCTGAGCTGTCAGCACTGCCCTCTGGCTGTGACTGTCCAAGCAGATCCTCACCCACCAGTCCATCCACTGAACCCATCTCTCCAATTTGGACAGAAGTCCAGATAAATCAATCCTGTAACCCTTCCTTTGTCCACCGCTCTGGTCACTCCATCACAGAAAGCCTCTAAGCTGCTCAGGGTAAAGTTTGTTTGGTTTTTGCCTTACTCTTCCAGTTTCTGTGTTTTAAGATTCTAAAGTATAATTTGTTTAATTTTGGGTTTCTCAGAGTTTTCTTGCTGTTCTGAAAGAACTTGGATAAATTCCACTTCATGTTTGATACCATTACAGCTTTAAGTCTGCAAATAACAATGATTTTTAGAATTCCTTCACTTCAGGGGGTATAAAATTGAGCAAATTGATTTGACCACCGAGCCTTTGCGAATAGGAGGAAGAACTGAGTTATACATCCATAAATATGATTTTCTTGTGGCTTTTAAAATCATATCCTGCTAAAAATATTAACCTGTATACCAGTTTGCTAATAAATTGTGCATTCCTAGCACCACTGGTTTACGTATTAACAGTCTAGAAACAAAGTCATGGTGATTCCCACCTATTTTGAGCATCTGGTGTTGCCTACACAAGTGTTGTACACTGTGTGGTGTTGTTCAGACAGACTGATAGAGACAGAAATAATTTTCTAATACAGGAAAAACTTGGAGGCACAGACAGGGGAATGCAACTGCAATTACAGAAATTGTTAAAGGGACCATGACCACACCAAATAAAATTTACAGTACCGTGAAATTAAATTGCAGCAGGCAAGTACAAGTTGAAAGCAGAATCATTGTCTCGTGTGAAACTTAGACCATGATATGAGACTTTTCATTTTATACCTTGTTCTGCCATTCTGTCTAATCAGGTTAAACACCAGACACACAATAGGAACAATGCCTTGGTATTTTGATACCTCTTCTTTCTATTATTTGGTGGTAAATTTGCTGTGCATGTGTTTAAAAGATAGAATAAATGATTTGTAGCTAGAGGAAAAAAAAATAAATCTCTTTGTCTTTTTTTTTTTCCCCTCCTTATGGAGGAAGGTGACACTAATAATGGTGGGTCTTGATAATGCTGGGAAAACTGCCACAGTCCGAGGAATTCAAGGAGGTAAGTGATTATTTTATCATCCAAATGGAGCAGTGAGAGTATCACTCCTAATTTTCAATGATTTAAATTTGAAAATATTGCTTCATCTCTTAATGTATCTTTTCCTCCCATGTTGAAAGAAAATATTGGTGGTTGTACATTCAAATATCACATATATCACATCTTGATACAAACATTACAATGGACAATACAATCAATGGACTTGATTTTTTTCTCTTTTTTCTTTGTTTGCATGTGCTGAAGTTGCTTTCAGGTGGCCATTCCAGTAATGTGCATACAGAAGTAAACTTTTATGTAAAAATCAGTGTTGTAAGTAAGTGTATATATAAGCAGAAAAGGTTTAAAAGAAGGAAATTGGTGTGTATAAGATAAAGGATGGTTCTAGTGTTACATATTTTTTCTCATTATTTATAATCAGAAAATGATGATAAATTGCCACTAAGAGACCACTCGATTTTGAAGGGTACTTTGCCGTGGCACATGCAGGATAAAATATGAGATGAAACTTGTCCTTATGAAAACAAAAATTCTGTATTTTTTTTTTCCTCCCCTTGTGGAATTGTCTTTCTAAATAACTCTCATCTTGTGCAAGAACAAGAGTTTACTTACTAGTGTTTTGACAGACTTGGAGACTCCACCTCGAGTTTGTTTACTTGTGTTATGCAAGTTCACAGACTTGCTACAGGAGTGTTTCATTATTTAGCATTCCATTTGAAAATCACCTTTACTACCTTTACAATCTGAATGTAACAGTTCTATTACAAGTTCTACTGTCTACAGAACAGTATTCTGTTCTGGAAACAAAATCTAAAAGTTCTATTTTTCAGGGGAAAAAATGAGATAAAGATGTGCATTTCTAAAGGGAAATTCAAGGAAAAGATAGTTCCAATTTCTTTGAGTGTTTCCCAGGGCTTAAATGTCCTGAAAGCCCATCTTGGCTGTCTTAAGGGTTGAAACAGAAGGCTGGTGGGGATTCAGTTTCTGCACTGCTCTTCAGAGCTTGGTGCTTTTAGCCAGACCTTCATTTTTTTTCCTCTCAACAAGCTGAATTTTACATATTTCTCTTGCCTTGTGCTACCCAGCTGCATAAAACAGAGATCAAATTATCTCAGCCCTGCAGGCACAGCTTAGTGGTGTGAGGTGAGTCCAGGCTTTCTTTGCCCTCAGGAAAGGGAGACAGCAACAAAAGTATTAAATATAAATCTATAATTTTTTGAGCATATTGCATGGCAAATTGGAAAAAAAAGCAAATAGAAATAGGCAAACAAACAAAGACTATAAACTGGCCTTGAATAAAGGGAATCAAATAATTTACATCACAGAAAAACATGGTTTTAGTCATTTCATCTCGGCTCTTAGTTTGAACTTCTGAAGCTGCTTTGGCAACCATGAAAGATAAAAAAATTAATTTGGCAGAGCACAAGGGTTCCTAGGTCATAGTGCATTAACTGTTTTGGTTGTTTTCCTTCTCAGAGTTGGATTACTACCACGGAAATGAGTGGAATTGAAAATGCAGTACAGTACCCATCACTGCGATGGACCTGTGGTGTGAAATATTTAAATCTGCCTTTCGGGCCCTTCTCTTTCTCCCCACTTCCACTCCCCCAGTGCTCCTATCTAAATTCAAGTAACTAGTTGAAAGACTAGTTAATTTAAAATTCCCTGAGGAGAAGGAAAAATCTTAATTTAAGCAAAAATGTGGTCAGCAATATTTAACAGGGAGGTTTCGCTCCATGTTTTTAAAATGCAAATTTTGCTACACAAATCCCACTATAAAATCCTCTTTAAACTGAAGGCTTTCTTCTTTGGCAGAGTCTCCTGAAGATGTGGCTCCAACCGTTGGGTTTTCCAAAATTGATCTTAAACAGGGACGCTTTGAAGTCACCATCTTTGATTTAGGAGGTGGAAAGCGAATTCGGAATATCTGGAAGAATTATTATGCTGAGTCCTATGGTGTCATATTTGTGGTGGATTCCAGTGACATTGAAAGAATGGAAGAAACAAAACAAGTCATGATAGAAGTTTTAAAAAGCCCTAAGATAGCAGGAAAACCTGTGTTAGTGTAAGTAATGTAACAAATGTTCTCCTAATAATCTGAAATGGGGTGAATTTAGTCCTAAATAACTATTTCTGTTGTAACTAACACTGCTGTAGCTTTAGCACTAACCAATATTACAATTAGTTTTATGGTTTTATGTTTTACTTAATCCTTCTCAGAGATATAAATATCCCTCCTCTTTCATTAGCCGTGGAAAAATACTAAGGTGGGATTATTTTAAGACTTTAAAATTCTAATATTACTTGAAATGCTAGGTTAAAAGGCTATAAAAATTTGGCATGGCAACATGATGTAAAAATATTGTTGCTGTTTATGCCTACATCAATTAATTAAATGGTAAATGGTTGATTATGTTCAGCACTAGTGTGATCTCTCAGCAATAAATGTCTTGTACACTTAACACGTGGTGCTGCTGATACGTGATCAGCAAAATCTCATTAAAGGAGGCTTGCTTTAATTGCATTGGACACGTGCTTTTTCTCTGTTTAATAGGGTTTGTAAAATATTGGAAAGAACATATTTTATAAAATTCCACACCAAAAATACTTGATAACAAATACTCTTTCAAAGTTACAAAATAAACTCTGAAAGTTTGAAATGGTTCATAAAGTCAGTATCTTTGTCCGGTGAGCATAAGACCTCCATAATGCATTAATTGCACAACATTCCAGTGCTATCTATCATAAAGAATCTGTACAGTTAAGAGGAGAGGCCTCTTATTTTTAAGAAACAGTGATGCTCTGCTGGTTTGAAGCTGAACCTGCTTAATTGTACTGATGAAGTGGAGGGTAGTTCAGCAAAGTAATGGTGTATATTTTGAAAATAGATTAGATTTTACCTTTCATTGCTGTGAATGTTAGTGGGACAGGGAAGAAAATAAAGCAAACATATTTTAACTCAAATGAGTTTTGAAAATGCAGCTATGACAGTGAAAAACTGTGCTGTGTTTTTTTAATTAAGTACAACTTTATGGGGGGTTTTGGGTTATATTTTGGTTTTGTTTGCTGGGGTTTTTTGGTTTTTTTTGTTTGTAGAAATCTGTGCTCTTATCCTATAATGGAGTTTGTTTGGGTGGCTGACTGGATGTATAGAGAACTCACTCATTTCCCTGGATCTTGATACTGCTTTTTGATCTTTATCAGTAGCTAACCAGAAGGCAGAGTGTATTTATTAATTGCTCTAATGGTGACTAACCCAATTTGTTGATGTTATTACTGTTTATTAGATTAAACATCGAGCCTTTGATCAGAATTTGCTTTTGCAGTGTCCCAGTTCTCTGGAGGGATCCAGTAGTTCTTTGGTTTGTGCTCCCTCTGTGACTGCCTCTTGAACTAAGAATTCTCTCCTGTATTGTCAGATTTCCAAATTTATGCTAAAAGTTAGCCTTTTTTTAATATTATATTAATTTTAATGTTCAGATTTTGTTTGTGGTTTTTTTGGTTTTGTTGTTTTTTTCTTTAATAATGAGATACTTGCTACCCATGGAGCAATAAATTCCCTAATGCCTCGCCACATTTTTAATTAGTGTATTTTAATCTGTGCAGAAGAGGCTGAATTGCACAATGTGGACATAAAATTTGTGTTAAATACTCTATTTTACAGAAGTATGGGAGTATGAGAAATCTGATGTTCAGTGTGATTTTTCTTCTACAAATTTAATTGCTGCTATCCCATGTTGTTATTTACTGCTGCCCAAGGAGGTGTTACAGAATCATTTTAAGACAATTTTCCTCAAGTGTTGATAGTATTGTCTTGTACTACCTCTTGGTATAAATTAGAGATGTTAAACTTTTTATTTGGGTTTTTTTTTTACTGTTCAGTGTTATCACCTTATTTATGTTCATGGGTAAATTCTGGCAGCATCCTCAAGACTTATATAGGTATGCAAGTTTAAATTTTCTTCCCTTAGGATTACTTTTGTCCTTTCTTTTATCAGAAATGAGCACACAGACATCATATTATGCAGGCAAATGCTGGTTTTCTCTGGGATTAGTTGCATTTGTTTGGAGTCTTTGGTTTGGTTTTGGGTTTTTTTTTTAAAGTTGACATAGAGCATGTGCAATAGGAAATGCAAGTCCATGTGCTATGACTGATATTTTATACCAAGGAGATTTTTGAGTAGGTATTTTGTTAGGAGAAAGCTACTTTCTACCTGTTATTTTGCTGATAAGGGATTATAGCTATTAATGTTTCAATTTTCTTCTTCGAACACTTGAAGCTGGGCTTTAATTTGTTTGGTTTTCTGCGTATTTATGTAAGCACTGAAAACACTGGAAAGTTACTTTAGTGATTACTGCAAAATTTCTGCTGCTAATAATTTTGAATGCTTAATATCAAATTCAGTGTAAACTTTATCTCATACTATTATTTCATAGTATTTGTTTTCAGTTAATAGTACCCCCTATCAAGGAAAAGGTTTTCACAAGTCTTTCTCACTTCCCAGTTCTTCTTCAGTGTGTTTTATCTGTTTGGCCTGTTTCTAACCAATTTACACCTGGAAATTACTTATTCAGGCAGCTGTTTTCCCAAGTATTGAAACTTGAATTTTGAAAACTTGAGTTTTAATCCATGATTGGAAGTACAGCTCTTGTTTATTGGCTAATTTCTACTCTACCCTTGGAAGATAAAGGTATTTTATTTATTGGCTAATTTCTACTCTACCCTTGGAAGATAAAGGCATTTTTAACATATGCAATTATGAGAATATTTAATGAAATAGTTTCAGTAGTGTCATTATTTAAGTTTATTTTTTGCTGCTACTGTGTAAATAATTTTTTTCACTTTAAGGTTCAGATCTTTGATTGTATTTTGACAGCAGTTAATTTCAGTTGGAGTTTTAATCTGGGATGGAGGAAATCCAAATATTCCTAAATACCACGATGTGAAAATGACTTGATAGCAGATTAATTTTTTTCCCCACTACATGCAACTAAAAACATCCAGTTCACTCAGTGTCTTGCTGAATTGCAGTTTCTTATGCCTTCTCTGACTACCCAAATAAAGTGGTATTGCTTCTGTCCTTGCACAGTACAAAGCAGTTCAGGAATACATTTCTGGTTTGCTGTTTGTTTTTAGTGTGGAATTCCTTTTTTTAATTTCTTTTGGAAATTACTTTTTTTTGTCTCTGTTACATTGCTGTTGTCTGTTAAATTGTATGGAGAGCTATTTCCCACTCAGTTCCAAAAGGAATTGGTTACAGGAGGTTCCTTCTAACCTAAATCATTCTCTGGTTCTAGATTATGGGGGAGAAGTAGGGGGTGTAAGGAAGGAGTTTTATTTTTTATTCAATTTGTTCGTTAATTTTTGTGCTAGCAAAAGTGAGACTGCAGATGTGACTGTGTATTTAGGTAAGACAGGCAGCATTAAGAATGTGCCTTGTGAGTGTGTAATTAAAGATCATATTCCCCTATCCTGGTAGGGCTCTGCCTGTGGAGCTGAATAATATAAATATCTCTGTGCCAGTTTATGAAAAGTTTATGAACTTTTCCTATAGAGGTAGTATTGAAACATTCCTGGTAAGTTTTCTGACCTCTTGTTTGGTTTATGCATCCCATTCTGGATTGTTACTAGTGGTGTCTACTTCATGTGTGGATTTGTTTTTGTAGAATTTCAGATTCCTGGGGAAAAAAAGCATTTAGAATTAGAGCAAGTAAATATAAATGCTAAAAAAAACCAAGACAATTAAAAATACTTATTATTATTTTGTGAAAAGTAAATAAAACATTTTTATGAATCCTGTCTTTGAGATTAACAGTATTTTCAATGCTTCCCAACAGCACAGGGAGTTTGTTGCCACACTGTTTTAGGTGGAAGAAGCAAACTGTACTTTAGAACTTCTAAACTTTGAAGAAGTTCAGAAGAACCAAAAAGCGTCACTTTTATCCTTTGATCCTTTCCTGTAGTTCACGTGTTTCCGTGAAAACCGTAAAATTCTTTACTCTCTTTTGACAAATGGATGCAGCTTTTCCTGAGAGCTGTGCTGAAGGGAAGGTGGGAAGAAAAGTGAAGCAGTTGAGGGATCCCAAGAGTGCTTTGCAAGGTCAGTTTGGTGTGGAGGAACCATTGGTATTTCAAGCAGTTCATTTCTTCTGTCATCTGCAGCACGGACAACACCAGCAGCAAATGGCTTTGCAAGGGTTTTTTTTTTTATACCTGACTGCAAGCCCAAACTTTTCTTTAGACACTTGAGTATATTCTTGAGTGTTGTTCATGCAGATTTCTATGTTATTGATCATCTCCCCTTGCTCCTCCACCAGAACTGAGATCTGGATAAAGAGTTCTTTCACGTCTTTGATCTGGTTCTCCAGATTGATCAGTTCTTTGTGTCTCTGCTCAATCTCTGACAGCTGAGCTTTAGTAATCTTGACTTCAGTGAGCAGATTTTCATTGAAAATCTCCCATTTTCCTTGCTGGAGCATGTCATTGACTTCCTCCTCAGACACCTCTTTCCCAGCTACCTCAAGCTGGCGGAGGATGAAGGTCCTGCACTTGTCCTGCTTGGCGGTGATAGCCTCGTTGTAGGAGAGCATGGCCTGCAGGTAGCGGTGGGACAGGAAGGCGTGCTGGGCTGCCAGGATCCTCACCGTGGCTCGGGCTGGCCCCTGCTCAGTTTCAGCTTTCCTCACTGCTTTTGACAGTTCATCCAAACATTTGCGTACGTGTTCTGCTTGAATTTTGATTTCCCTTGCTACGTTAGATTCCTTTTTGAGAACGCTGAATCTTCTCATTGAAGACACGAGGCTTTTTTGTTGTTGGCTGAATTTATTGACTTCTTCCACCAGATTATTAATTTCATTTTGAAGCTTCTGGATTTCGTGCAAGTGCCTTTCAGTTATGGGCTCTTTTTCATAAATAATGGCCTGCTGTTCAAACTCCTCCTGCTCCTCTTCTTGTACAGTTGCACCATTGTTTTCCCCAGCTATCTGTAGTTCCTTAGCCCTCAATTTGAGCTCTTGCAGACGATCTTTCATGGTTTATGTGGTCAGGATTATTTCCTGTGTTTT